ATCGAGTTAAAATAACCTCTTAAGTAGAGATACCATTTGGGATGGCGATAGTTTAAAATTGGAAATAACTTTTGAAAATCCTTAGTTTTACTAAAGAGATCTATTAATTAATATACATATGTACATTCAACCCATACCGAATATAATTCAAGCAGAATAAAATATACAGGAAGAAGAAAATTTATGTCTAAATTATGACACATATTAAAATACTTTCATCAAGAACGAATTAGAAGATTTTAAAGACGAATGCATCGAATATTTATTTCGGAGTCAAAATAAAATGAATTGTAAATATAGGTATAATAACCGATCAAAAGTAATATAAATGGATACAAACCAAATTTACGTAAACAATGCAAAACCATTTTTCATAACAGTAATTCTATACATTTTACTATTAACGATAATTATTTAGTACGATTTGAAAACTGTAATGTTCAAATTGTTAATATGTATATAGACATCGTAAGCCTCTCACAATGAAATGATTACCAAGTCCAGTTAAGGTACGGAGGAAATACATTTTCAAAACATTAAATATTTATATTCAAGAATAGGTAACAAAATTCAGATATATGTAAAGCAAAACAAAAAGACACTGTTTAGAATTAACATTGAACAAATCCCAATGCATAAGCAAGCCCAGCCTATAGACCAAATGATGGAGAGGATCAAACACTCTTTGAATCGGGATGCTTCAATTTAGAGGTGGGAGAGTTAATACCACCMGTGATATATAATGTGAACATATGTGTTAGTATTTATGTTATGGTCCGTCAGATGAAACATTGTACTTTGCCAATACACACAGACAATACTGTTCAGCTATATTTCTCCATGTGGCTCAGGCATTTGATAAGATTATACTATATAAGAATAAAAAGCATTCTACCTTTATAGTTGTATAAAATATTGGAGTTTTATTTTAAAAATAGACAATTTATGGTAAAAGTGGGAGAAAAATAAAAACTCTAAACTTAACATAGACAACAAAGTGCTTCTATATAATGTGGTCTACAGCTTATTAATCTAAAATGCGAATATGGCGATGCTGGTTTTGCGAAGAAACATGAAATAAACAATTGTTTCTTGAAGCAAGTTCAAAGTAATCACTGAATTTATCCTACAGTTAGTTAAAATCGTTATTATTAAATATAGTTTATTTTGAAATTTTGATTAAAACATACCAATCATCATCTTCTTCTCTTCTTGATTGGCGTAGACCCCGCTTACGCGATTATAGCCGAGTTAACAACAGCGCGCCAGTCGTTTCTTCTTTTCGCTACGTGGCGCCAATTAGATATTCCGAGTGAAGCCAGGTCCTTCTCCACTTGGTCCTTCCAACGGAGTGGAGGTCTTCCTCTTCCTCTGCTTCCCCCGGCGGGTACTGCGT